TGGTTCTAATCAATGCAAGGGACAATCTCACTTGTAGTTCCCTGGCAGGATATTTACATTTCACTCAGGTCAGAATCCACTTCCAGCTGACTTCTATTATTTATTCAATGATAAAACTAGAGGATCTTGGGGCTGGAGAGATGGCTCAGCAGTTAAGAACACTGATTGTTCTTGCAGAAGACGTGGGTTCAAATCCCAGCACCTACATGGCAGCTAACAACTGTCTGTAACTCCAGTTCCAGGGGATCTGACAGCCTCTTCTGTCTTCCACGGGCATTGCACGACACAGGTGCACTTACCTACATCCAAGGAATACATGCATATACATAAAAAATTAAAATAATATTTTTTTAAAAAACTAGAGGATCTTAAAACCCACCTAAAGGTTGCCAGGAATGGGATTAGAACAGAGCTCAGTGGGAGAGTACTTACCTGGCATGGGCAAGGTCGTGGGTCCATCCCCAGCACTGCAAAAGTTATCAGAATGACGGCGAAGATGTTTAGTGTTTTATCAAATGCTTCTAGATATTTGGCTCACATGTGGATTCAGAATTCATGAGGGATTTCTCAGAACAATGAAAAGCAAGTCTTGCTGGATGTTAAATTGAGCAGTTATAGGGAAGAACTGGTGTGGTGTGCTGGTGTTTGAACCTGAACGATTGTGGCAAATGATTATCTAGAGCTCCACTGAGCTAGCCTCTGGAAAGCAGGTGTATGTGTTTGGTTGTGACTTATCTGTGTGGTTTTGGAGCATGTCCAATGACAGGCCACTAATTTATTTCTCAACTCAAGGAAGACTGTCAAATTTGTAGGGGGTCAAACCATTGCAGTGATTCAGACCATGTGATAAAGTTCAGCACTAGCACCAAGCTCCTACCTAGTTCAATCCCCTGAAGTCCCCAAATGGTCTGTACTGATATCTGATATGGTTAATGTTGTAAGTTTTCAACTCCTTTTCATCCCAGAAACTCTCCAGCACTGACCCCATCAGCAGCCAGCAGGCAGGACATCTTAATTTGTCACCCATTTGTTTGCACAGCACACAAGTATGTACATTCAGTTATACTTTAATCCCATTCACAGTTGGTGTTCTCAGTCTGAGTAGAGGGTTTGGGCAAAGGGTCTTATTACCACCATGGACTCTCCTCTGAAAATTAAGGAGAATGGACAGGCACATCAACACGTTTGCTCCCAGGGTGAAGTCCCTAACTGCTGAGTTGTAAATCCTTCCTCAGTGCCAATCCCAGTGTCCCATCCAGTCAAGCTAATGTTGAAGCAGATGTGATTAACTGTACAAGAAAAAAATTCTTCAGTGCCAGGCCAGCCAGGGCTACATAGTGAGACCCTGTCTTTAAAAAATATCTCATTTTGCCAGGCATGGTGGCACATGCTTTAACTTGGAGGCAGAGGCAGGCAGATCTCTGTGAGTTCGAGGCCAGCCTGGTCTCCATAGCAAATCCAGGCCAGCTGTGGCTACAGGGAGATCCTGTCTCAAAAAAAGACCCCCCCCCCAAAAATTTCATCTTAATTTTAACTCCACTAGATTGAACCCATCTCTGTGATGCCCACTGTGAGGTGGACACAGGGAACAGCAGTCTTCACATTGCTAAGATTCCCAGTGCAGGAGGCAACATAGGGGGGCGGGTGGCTCTGACACCAGGCAGCCTTCAGAATCCTGAGACCCAGAGTGAAAGAATTAAGAACTGAGCAGAGGCAGCCCCACAGCGGAAAGTCCATCCTGACTCTCCCTCCGTTCTTGAGAAAACACTTGTTGAATCCAGCTGACTCTTCTCATTGGCCTGCTGTTGCCTTTACTCACATGCCTTTCAACAGCAAAGGTGATGCCCCCAGTTTCTATTGCTTCATGGCTGACTTCCTCCTCACCCCCTTGCAACACAGCCCCCACCCTCCTCACTTCAGTCCTCCCTGTGGTTTGCCCTGTTTCCTTTCCACACTATTGCGTGCCTCTCAAGGAGGAGGGGGTACAGCAGAACAGCCTGTCATCTCTGCCAACCTCTATCTCAGAACCTCCCAAGTCGGTTAGTCACCACCACTGCACAGGAAGATCTTGTGGGAAGCTGTTAAAAGGCAGCAGTCCCCAGAACCCCACCCACAGCATGTTGTCTTTGTTGGGCTGAACATTTCCTAGAATTTCCTCTCCATTAGGGTGGGCCACAAGAGATTTGGGGGTGGATATGGGGGGCAGAAGTGAAGTAGTACCCTTTGAAAACGCTCACATATCGGCACTCACCTGCTGACTCATCCTGGCATAACCTAGCAACCAGATCTGCACCTGCTCCACTTCCCTCGCCTCTCATCAGCGCCTCAGACTGGTAAGCCAGGTGTGTGGTTAGCTCTGTGCTGAACTGCATCACTTGCGCAAACACCCGAACCACCAGGTCAGAGACAAGAGCTGACAGGAGTTTCAGGACGCTGTTGTGGCTCCTACCTGATTCTTACGTTCTATAATCATTTCACACTTTACAGCTTCCCTTCCTGACTGCCCATCCTGTAGACCTCAAGCACCAGCATCCCACACAGAGACAGAAACTTCCAGAGACCACCTGCAGATCCCTGCAGCAGATGTGCCTGCATATTAATGAGTGTTTGTGGAGGCCACAGGTCAGCCTTAGGTATCTTTCCTCAAGTACTGTCCACCTTGCTTTCAGAGACAAGGTCTCTCACTGACCTGGAACTCACCAATCAGCCCTGGCTGGCCAGTAAGCCCAAGGGATGCATCTGTCCCTGCCGCCTAACATTGGGATTACAACAGCAAGCCATCATGTCCAGCTTTTTTAAAAAAAGATTTATTTATTTAGGCGAGGCATAGTAAGGTGCACTTTTAATCCCAGCATTCAGGAGGCAGAGGCAGGCAGAGCTCTGTGAGTTCAAGGCCAGCCTGGTCTACATAGTGAGTTCTAGGCCAGCTGGGGCTACAGGGAAACCCTGTCTCAAAACAAAAATCAAAATAAAACAAAACAAAACCCCCAAGATTTATTTTTATTTTAAGTGTATGAATGATTACCTACGTATATGTATGTGTACCATATGCATGCCTGATGCCTGAGGAGGCCACAAGAACTGGAGTTACACGTGGCTGAGTCACCATGTAGGTGCTAGGAATTAAACCAGGGTCCTTTGAAGAACAGCAAGTGCTCTTAATCACTGAGTCATCTCTCCAGCCTTGATTCTTCCTCTTCCTCTTCTTCTTCTCGTGGGTTCTGGGGCTCAAACTCAGGTCCTCATGTTTGCATGAAAAGTACTTTTGACTGAGTTATCTCTTTCACCTAAGACCTCTTCATGGGGCCGGAAAGATGGCTCAGTGGTTAAGAGTACTGACTGCTCTTATAGAAGACCCGGGTTCAGATCCCAGCAGGCAATGGTGGCTAACAACCATCCATAACTCCAGTTCTAGGGGATCTAATCCCCTCTTCTGACTTCCATGGGCATTGCACAGCATGGGTGTACTTACATACATGCAGGCAATATACTCATACACATAAAATAAAAGCAATTTTTTTTTAAAAAAAGGCCTCTTCATATATACATATTTGACTGAAACCTGCCTGATAAACTCTGACACATCCAACATGTCAGAGGTGAGGCCCACAGGCATGCAACTGCTAAAAGCTCCAGGTGTTTCTAACACCATCTACCCCAAGTAAAAACCTCCAGGTCTGATTGCACATCCTTGCCAGAGTAGCCAGTAGGGCTGGCAGGTGTCCCCCGCACAGAGTCACAATAGGGATTTAAAGTCCTGCCCTGCCCCACCCTGTGTACTTTCTCTCCTTTAGCCTTCCTTTTTCTTTACCACTAATCCAGTCATTGCCCACCTCACACATATCACTACTATCTCCCTTTCTAGTCTTTCATCCTCCATTTCAACCCTAACCCCAACCCCCAATCCCTACCCCCAGACCCCCAGCTCCCAAGCTGATCTGGAAAAGCATACCTAACATCTTTCCATGCTCAAAGGCTCCAATCCTCTGTCCTCCAGGGGTCAAGCCTAATCTCTTTAGCTGGTATTCAAAACTCACCTCAGTCTGGCTTCTTTCACCTGACCAACATAACTTTCCTTCCCTCCCCCTGTGCCAACCTAACTCTTGGGTCCTTTCTGAACCTCCGTTGACTCAGGGAAGAACAAGGCAGAGATTACACAGACAACAGGGAATGGTCCATGCCTGGCCTCCCTGGATTCCACCCTCCAAGGCCACCGTCTGGGATGTATACCCTAGCTATATCCCAAGCAGTCTCTCTCTCCATCCTGTCCTTTCTCAGTCCTGCTTCCCAGACTGGGGATATGGTTCCACTGGCTGTCACTATAAACTATTCCCTGAGCTTAAGAAAGAAAACAATACTTTCTAGCCCCCCACCACAAAATCACAGAAGCAGAGGGCATCTTCACCTCTTCCCCAATCAAAGTCTGCACCTGGTCTATGAGATGCAATAAGGTCTTCCCCTGGTGCAGGACTCCCTGCACCAGAATATGAACTGGCCTTGAAGTTTCCTTTCTGAGCACAGAGGATTTCTTTATCCTAGGAGTTTCCTGCTCATATTTGGAAAGAAGGCCCTACAGTTAGTACATTTACACTCAAGCCTCCTTCTAGAAAAATTTTTTTTGGTCTTTTTTGAGACAGGGTCTCCCTGTAGCCCCAGCTGTCCTGGAACTCGCTATGTAGACCAGACTGGCGTTGAACTCACAGAGATCCACCTGCCTCTGCCTCCCAAGTGCTGGGACTACAGGCGTGTGCCACCACGCCCAGCTAGAAATTCTAAGAGGTTGAGAAAATGGAACTAACACAGCAGAGCGCCCCCACCCCATGCTTTTTCTTAGACTCCGACTATCATATAATAGTACTATGAAATGGAAGGTATTTGACACTTCCCAAGGCCTACAGCTGGGCTTTCTGCCTTATTTTTTCACTGTGTCTTTGGTCACTCATTCACATGCTAATGTTTCTGTGGACAATGTTTTCTCTAGATTTCACAAGACTACTCACCCATACTTCTCTGCAAGCCCCCTGGCTTCCTCCTCTTTGACTGCCCTCTGGTCTTCCAGGTCACTCTTGTTTCCACACAGCACTATGTCTGGGTTTTCACAGTATGCATGCATTTGTAGCTGGCCTATAGATAAGAAAGTTGATTATATGTAAGTCATAATATAAGCCATAGGATCAACAGAGAATATATGCAAAAGTGCTTTTGGAAATTATAATGCATATACAGATATAAGGAGCTGATGGGATACTTTGGGTTTTTGTTTCTGTTTTGTTTTTTTTCTGAGACAGGGTCGGTCTCCCTGTAGCCCCAGACATCGGCTTGCCTCTGCTACCACACCCAGCAGAATACTTTCAAAGCAAGGATAAGCCAATCTTTAAAATTGAGTGGATGAAGTAAAGTACAAAATTATTTCTGTCCTTAACGCAGTTATATCAGAGAGCTATGGAAGAATACGGTAATCCTCAAAAGTGTGTGTATGTGTAATAAAACATCTGTCTTTGTATGAAAGAGACTTCAAAGAAAGTTGGAGGAATTCTTAAAGCCTTAAATCTCTTTATAATTTATTTCTTTCAAGATCAGTGATTTTTTTTTTAAAAAGAATCATTTTCTAGTCGGGCGTGGTGGCCACACCTTTAATCTCAGCACTGTGTGCTGGATAGCTTTAGTGTCAACTTGACACACCTGGGTTGAGGGAGCCTTAATTGGGGAATTTCCTCTATTGGACTGGCCTGTGGCCATGTCTGAAGGGCATCTTCTTGATGAGTGATGTGGGAGGGCCCAGCCCACTGTGGGTGGTGCCACCCCTGGGCAGGTGGGCCTGTGTTGCATAAGAAAGCAGGCTGAGCAGGGACCAGGGGAGCAAGCCAGTAAGCAGCGTTCTTCCATGGCCTGTGCTCTAGCCCCTGCCTCCAGGTTCCTGCCCTGAGTTCCTACCTTGGGCTCCCTGATGAACTGCGTGCGACCTGGGAGATGTAAGACAAATAAACCCTTTCCTCCCCAAGTTGGTACTGGTCAGAGTGTTTTGTCACAGCAATGAAGAAACAAACTAAGACAATGTGCTATAAGGGTATGGAGAAAAGGGAACCTTTGTACATTGCTGATGAGAATGTAAATTAGTCCAGTCACTATGGAAAGCAGTATGGCGGTTCCTCAAAACACTGAAATTAGAAACACCATATGATCCAGCAATCCCACTTCTGGGTACATATCAAAAGGAATGCAAATCTGAGTGGCCAGTAAGCAGCCAGTAAGCAGCATTCCTTCATGGCCTGTACCCCATCTCCTGCCTCCCGATTCCTGCCCTGAGTTCCTACCTTGGGCTCCCTGATGAACTGTGACCCGGGAGATGTAAGATAAAAAAAACTCTTTCCTCCCCAAGTTGGTAGTGGTCAGAGTGTTTTGTCATAGCAATGAAGAAACAAACCAGAACAATTTGGAAGGCAGAGGCAGGTGGATCTCTGTGAGTTCCAGGCCAGCCTGGTCTCAAAGCTGAGTTCCAGGACAGCTGGAGCTACAAGACCCTGTCTCAAAAAGAGAAAAAAAAAAAAAAAAAAAAAGAATTCTTTTCTTTCAAAACAAAGACTCACTATGTAGACCTGGCTAGTCTGGAGTTTGCTATGTAGACAAGGCTGATCTTAAACTCACAGAGATCCACCTGCCTGTCTACCTACTGAGTCCTGGGATTAAACATGTACACCAGCACACTCAGCTTTTCTTTTTGAGATAGGGCTTCATGTATCCTAGGCTAGCCTCGAATTCACTATGTAGTCAAGGATGAACCTGAACATATGATCTTCCTGCCTCTACTTCCTGAGTGCTAGAATTACAGGTCCAGTTCATCGGTTGCTAGGGATGGAAATCAAGGCCTTGTGTATTTGAGGCAAACACTTACCATCTGAGCTGGATTTCCAGTCCTAAAAATTATCTTTTAATAAGCTAGCTTATTTATACCTAAAATGTTTTTCACATTTTTGTATCATCTAAAGTAGGATCCTGTATTTAAAACAAATAAGATGGGTGTGATTGGTGCGTGCCTCTAATCCCAGCACTTGAAAGGCAGAAGCATGAGGCTCTGTGAGTTCAGAGCCAGCCTGAATGAACTACAGAGTAAGATATGGTCTCGAAATAAATCCAAGCAAGCAAGCAAACAAATAAAAATGGGACTGATGAAGAAAGAAGATACAGAATGAATAAGAAATGATTCTATCAGCAGAACTGAGAGAAACAGATACAATTCTTCTTTAAAAAGACTTATTTGTATTTATGTATAAATGCATGTGCCTGCTTGAGCTTATGTGTGTCACATACATGTGTGCAATGCCCTTGGAGGCCAGAGAAAGGCATCAGAGCCACTGGAACTAGAGTTACAGGCTGTTATGAGCCACCTAGTGTGGGTGCTGGGAACTGGACCTGGGACCTCTGCAAGAGCAGCAAGTGCCTTTAACCACTGAGCCATTTCTCCAGTTCCTACAATTCTCATTCTGCAACTTTTATATTTTTCCACCTGAAAACTGGCAACTAGGCTTAATTATGAAAAGCAATCGAATCAAACAAAAGAGCTTCAGGATGCTAAGTAGATTAATCTCCCAAAGAAGGAAAATAAAGTCCAACTTCTCCTCACACTCCAGAACAAAAGGGAAGCAACCCAAACTTTCTCAAAGTGTGACCTAACAGTGTTTTGTCATTGTCAACGGAAGTGTGGACATTTCAGTTCTTCCTTATAAAGTCCTGACATTCATATCTTATCAAGAGAAAGTCAAGTCAGAAGGTGTTTCCTGAGCATTAACACAGACTGGGATTTCAGGACATTGTCTTTTGCCCTCAAGGAACAACTAAGGTCACAAGATCTAGCCAGGCAAGAGCAAACTGTGCCAGAAAAAGTCATGCCTCTCCTGTCCTGTTTGTGGTAGTTCCCACACTCCAGAACGCCCAGCCGCAACTTCCTTCAAGGCTTGCTAAACAGTCACCTCCAGGTTAAGCCCTTTCACTGGAGCTCTGTGCTTCCCCTAGCACCTCGCATGCCTACTATTCTGGCCCTGAGCAGGGACCACTTAGACTTGAAGCAAGTCTCTGTCACTTCTTGGCTGTGTGACTCTGAGGAAGTTATCTGACCACCTTAGTTTCCTCATCTATAAAATGCAAGTTGTTTTGTTTTTAGTTTTTTTGAGACAAGATCTCAATGTATAGTCCTAGCTGGCCTGGAACTCACTATGACCAGGCCTGTTTTGAACTAACAGATCCACCTGCCTCTGCCTCCTGAGTGCTGGGATTAAAGGTCTATGCCACCAGGCCTGGCTTCCTCATCTATAAATGGAGACAATAGTATTTACTTCCTAGGGTCAAAGTCAGGATTAAATAAGTTAATTGAATGACTCTCCAGGTAAAGTGTATGTGGGTTTAACAGCCTTAGCACCCCCTGAGACCTTGCTGGAAATGCAAATTCTAGGTCCTACCCACATCTACTGATCAGGAATGTGGAGTGGGGGCATAGGACTCCAGGAGACTCAAACATACAGGCATACATGAGTTAGTAAATCAAAGCATTTATTAGATGCTAAGTATTAACACTATCAACAGTTAATAGTGTCTGTGTTGGTGAATCTAAGATGTTATTATGTGTGGTTTTCTTTTCTTTTGTATGAAAATTATAAATTAATTGGAAATTAAGTAAATTAATCAGATACTTGACAAGTTTCACTAAAGGGAAGGACATACCTCAACAACTACAACCTGAGGTACAATGTGGTAAGGATTCAATGTGCAATAAAAAATATAGCAGAAGTTAGCAGGAGGGGAGCTACCTATTCCAACTAAGATTATCATGGAACATTTCATGGAAGCTATTTTTTTTTTTTTTTAGGTTTTAAAAAATAAACATGAGGGATGGAGAGATGGATCAAGGGTTAAGAGCACTGGCTGTTCTTGCAGAGGACTTGGGTTGGTTCCCAGCATCCACATGGTGACTAACTCCAGTTCCTGGGTATCCAACGCCCTCTTCTGGCCTCCATGTGCACTGCACAACACAAGTGCACTTAGCATACATGCAGGCAAAACACACATACACATAAAACAGAAATAAATATAAATAAATAAACATAATTCTAACTGGTCAGAAAATGGGAGATCAATATGTGAGGGCTTTGAGGCAGAGTGAACAATAAGGAATAAAAATGAAGGGTGAGACATGTCAGGTAGATGGTGTTAGGCTCTTGTACTATCTGTGTGAGGTCTTACATGACCTTAAAGTTTCATTATAAATCATCTGGCCCCAAATGAGAAATGGCTCAATCCTCTGAACTCCAAGAAGATGGATTTCTGTCTGTCCAATGAGACTTCAATCTGGGCCCAGAGCACTCATATCTCTCTTTTTGGCTCCTACACTGAGCCAAACTCACCTTTAGACTCTCACCACACTTCCTGAGAAGGGGCCACTCCAAAGAAGCCAACAAGGGGGAGAGCAGGGTACTTCAGTCTTCTTTGGCCCTAAACTGAAACACTTGTTCTTCAAAGTGTTCTTGGCACATGGGAGATAGTTTACAACAGCAGACAACAGGGGGAGATAGCCTACAACAGCAGGCAAGACGGGGAGCAGAGCACGAGGCCAGGAAACCAGAACACTTACTTATCCAGTTTCGGACATTGAGGAAACTTTGCTCATTCGTCAGGTCAAACAGTAGAAGAAAACCCATAGCATCCCTGAAGAACGCTGTGGTCAGGCTACGAAACCTAGGACATAAAAAGAGACTGTCACCTCAGGCACAGCTCCACCCCATACAAAGCTGCCACTGACACCCTTGGCCTCTTTCAAAGATTCACCCACAAATCCTGGGATGCTCTCCCAAAAGTGTACAGACAGGTGCTTACCACTTACGAGAGTTCATGTATTAACTGACCATGTGATATGAGGACCTAACCCTCGGGACAGGAGAACTACCTTGTGATCTTGAAGTCTCATCCAACAATTTATTGTACAGCTATGAGTTCACTGGGCCAAAAGCAATGGTCTAGCTGTGAGTGTTTTCCTATGGGGAAGCCTTGATGTCACCATTGACCCTGACTCAATGAATACAGTGGAGAATGATGAAGATTTGTGACATTGAGCTTGAGCCTCCACGAGCACACACATGCACATGCACCCACATACATTTGTGCCAGCACATACACACATACACATACACATCACATAAAAGAAAGAGAATCAATCCTTCAAGGAGGCTGTGAGAGAATCAGAGGCTTTGTCTGACTGAAAGCAGTCAGACTCCAAGATGTCATGTGGTTTTAATCTGGTAACCTCTGACCAGATGAATTCATTCCGCCAGCTTTCAACAATCAGATAAGAATAATGCAAGTAGCCTTACAACTTCCTCACAGTGGAGCAAACAGAAGTCAATGGGGAAAAGGCACACAAGCCTACAACAAAGAAAAGGAATAAAAGTCCCAAGTAAGGAGGTCTAATCTGAAGAGGATTCTCTCTTCTTTGCAGGGCATAAGTCCACCATGGGCTCCTCAGGGTGGCAATGTGTTCATTGGCCTGGCAGCTTTCAACTGGCCGGCCTTGCCTGCCCAGGTCATGTGGAGAGGGCAGTGAGGGGGACATACCTCTCCTGGCCTGCCGTGTCCCATAACTGCAGGTGGATTCTCTGGCCTCTGCCCATAGCTCCATCCGGACCATTAGCTCTGTACACCTAAAACAGCAAAGCAAAGACAAACCACTTATATTGAGCACAAACCTCAAAGCATCTAAACCGCTCAAAAGAATCCCATCTAGAACACAACTACCTTTGTATTTTGTGGCAAATAATTGTATTTGCATAATGGTAAATTTGTACCATTACATATACAGAGTTAGGGATGTGGCTCAGTTGGTAGAGTACTTGCCTAGCATTCATGAAACTCTGGGTTTGATCCCCAGTAAAATATAATCTGGGCATGGTGGCACATGCCTGTAATCCCAGCACTCCAGGAGGTTGGAGACAGGAGGTTCAAAAGTTCAAGGTTAAGGCTGGAGAGATGGATCAGTGGTTAAGAGCACTAACTGCTCTTGCAGACCTGGGTTTGGTTCCCAGCACCCACATGACAGCTCACAACCATCTGTAACTCCAGTTCCAGGGGATCCGACACCATCTTCTAGCCTTCACAAACATTGCACAACTCAAGTTGTGTTTACATAGGGATGCAGGCAAAACACTCATATACATTAAAAATTAATTTTTTTTCAAAGTTCAAGGTCACCCTCAGCTATATAGTGACTATGAGGCCAGCCTGAGCTACATGTGGCCCCATCTCAAAAAAACCAAAACTAATAAAAAATAAATTTTAGTGTAGACACATTATATATTTTAGATATACATTATGAAATATTAAATAATACTATTTTACATAAGATAACAGCCAGATTGTCCCTTGTGTTCCCTTGGTCATTCATTTTAGGAAACACTATCTGTGGCCTTTCCAATCCCAATCCCATCTTTTTTTTTGGTCTTTTTGAGACAGGGTCTCTCTGTAGCCCCAGCTCACCTAGAACTCACTATGTAGACCAGGCTGGCCTTGAACTCACAGAGATCTGCCTGCCTCTGCCTCTGTCTCCCGAGTGCAGGGATTAAAGGTGTGCACCACCAAGCCTGCCTCCAATCCCATCTTTAAAATGTGCTGTTAAAATGACTATATAGAGGCTGGTGAGAGGGCTCAATGGGTAAAGGTGCTTGCCACCAAGCTTGACAGGCTGAGTTCAATCCCTAGGACCCATGTGGTAGAAGTCAAGAACTGACTCCCACAAGTAGCTCTGACCTCTATACACACACAGTGGCAGACATGCACAGCAGATACACACGGGTGTAACAAATAAATAAATGAAAAAAAAATGTAATGACATTACAGAAGTCACTTCTGGAGCACCAGGGAAAGGCCCTCCACAAATCTCTTCCACCATAAAAAAAACAATGAAAATATTTGTAAAATTTTCTCAAAACTCAACTTTTCCAGAACTCTAGAAATTAACCAAGGCTTACAATATTCCAAGAGACAATTATTAGAGAAAAGTGACTAAATATCAGTAAAAAGTAAATAAAAGTAAAGTCAAAACAGTGTTTGTGATATCTGCAGCATTACGTCCTCCCAGCCCCTCAATCCAGTTCTATTTTCAGTATCCGTAAAGATCAACAGGTGGAGGGTTAGGTTGGTAGAGAGCTCGCCTAGTATGCACAAAACCCTGGGTTCAATCCACTGTACCACATAAACTAGACTGGTGCCACATGCCTGTAATCCTAGCACCCTGGGGGTAGAGGCAGAGGGATCAGGACTTCAGGATTATCTTTTACTACACAGTAAGCTCAAAGCTAGACCCAAGTCTATCTGATACCCTATCTCAAGAAAGGAGGAAGGAAGGAAGGAAGGAAGGAAGGAAGGAAGGAAGGAAGGAAGGAAGGAAAGAAAGAAAGAAAGAAAGAAAGAAAGAGGAGAGAAGGAAGGAAGGAAGGAAGGGAAGGAAGGAAGGAAGGGAGAGAAGGAAGGAAGGAAGGAAGGGAAAATTAGCAGAGGCTAGAGATGTAGCTCAGTGGTACAGCACCAGCTTATTATGTGTAGGGCTCTGGGTTTGCTCTCCAGTACCCCCAAAACAAAACAAAAACAAATATACAACCATGGTAGCCATGGAAACCTCCATGAGCAGCCACAGAAGATGAGGAGGGAGACAGGTATGGAACTTCCTAAAGGCCCATCTTCAGAGACCTATCAGAAAGCTCCCTAAAAAGCTCCATCCCAGGCCTACCTTCAATGGACCTTCTTCATCACTGGCTCTGTGTGAACAGCCCTAGCCTAGGGCATTACTGAAAAATAACGCCTGGTGATTATTCAACATCACAGCTAACAGGGACTGCAACATCGCTGGGGCTGGGGAAGTCCCTCTCCCTAACCAAAAAAGAAAGGAAATAGGAAGGAAGTGTGATATGGATATCCTTCTTGGTTTTTCGGTTGCTGCTTGGTTGTTATTGTTTGTTTGATTTTTAAATTTGTTTCTTATTTATGTGTATGTCTTTGTATATCTGTGTCTGTGGATATATATATATGCTGATGCCTGCAGAGGCTCCTAGAGTTGGAGTGTCAGGGAGTTGTGACCCACCTAAAATGGGTGCTGGGAACCATACACACTCATAACAGCTGAGCCATCTCTCCAACCCCACTAGGTTGGGTTTTTTTTAAAGATTTATTTATTTTATTTTATGTGTATGAATGGGCACAATATATACTCAACTGTTACAGTTTTATAGTATTTTGTTTTTAAATTTTTTGTGAATTTTTTTTAAATTTTCATGTGTATGTTTTGCCTCCATGTATATAAGTGTACCACATGTGTGCCTGGTGCCCATGGAGGTCAGAAGAGGCCATCAGATCTGCTGGAATTGGAGTTACAGATGGTTGTTAGCTACCATGTAGGTGCTGGGAACTGAATTCTGCTCCTCTGTAAGAGCAGCCAGTGCTCTTAACCACTGAGCCATCTCTCCAGCCCCAGTATTTTCCTTTTAATGTAGTCCACCACTGACCTCCTTCTAGGAATTGTTCATACACATGCATGCTTGTGTATATATATGTGTGTGTGTATATGTGAATATTTGTGTATGTAGGTGTGCATATGTGTGTATGTTTTGAGATAAGGTATCACTATGTAGCTCTGGCCAACCAGGAATGCACATGTGGACTATGCTGGCCTGCACCTTAAAGCCATCCTCCTGCCTCTGCTTCCAAGGGCTGGAATTCCAGGTGTGGGACACTGTCTTATCCTTGTTTGTTTATCTCTTGCCACATTCTCAGTAAATAGCCATCAGTATGTTTTTTTACAACCCATGAGGGCTCACACTTTAAACTCAGAAATTGAGATCATTAGAATAGATGTACTGTAAGACTGGATGGTCTTGACCTTCTGACAGCAGCACAGGGGGAACACCTACCATTACTAAAGTAGAACACTGTTTACATACCTGACAACTGGGGCAATCCTTAGTCCTCTGGAATGTAACAATAAATACAAAATCTGTCAGATGCTGCCTGATATTTTGATGAGTTACTGGCATTGTGGTGATCATGCAAGTTGTGATAAAAGGCCCTGCTGTTTCTGGCACTCACCTCAAGCATAGGAACCTCCCGTGAACTACATGATTGTCTGTGAGGTTTGATGCCCCAAATAAAGGCATCCTCCCTTCAGATTCCCATAGAATGATGGCCCTTGCTTCTATGAACTCAGACCTTGTCATGTTCCCTTAGACAAGACAGACCATGACTCTTGATCCCTGGGAAGGCAGGGTCTGAGTCCCTGTTCATTAGTATAGAGGCTTCAAAAAACAGACATTTGGCCATCATCAACCCTTAATATTAAGGGATCGGGGCTGGAGAGATGGCTCAGCGGTTAAGCGCACTGACTACTCTTGCAGTTCGAGTCCCAGCACCCAAATGGCGGCTACGAACCATCCTTAACTCAAGTTCCAGGGGAATCTGAAGCCCTCTTCTGATCTCCTCAGCATTGCATGACACAGGTACACTCACATATATGCAGGCAATACGCTCATACACATAAAAAAAGATTAAGGGATCAGAGTCTCAGAGAGGTAATTTGAGGCAGGATAGAAAGACAGGGCAAATTAAGACAGCATAGGGAAAGACACTCCTTACCAGAGTCGAGATGAATTCTCTCAGCTGCTGAGAGTTAAGAATTCCACACAATTAGCAACACTTGCTATGAAGACTGCCCACATAGAGACAATACTCCTTTTACATGGAAATATTTCTAAGAATACTGCTAAAATAGCAAGACCTCAGCATGTGACCTTTGAGTTCAGCCTCACCCCTTCCCAACTATAAAGGCAACCTTCTGAGAAGCTCACAGAAAAGATTATGAACTTTGTTTACTGCGAAAATTTAGGTCTCAGATTCCTGTGACCTAACAGAGTGGGGACTCTTCCAAGCCTTGTGACCTGTGGCTTTGTACATCAGCCTGTAATCCTGCCCAGTGTACGTCAGCAACTACTCTCTGAACTCATTTACTACAAGGGCTGAAACAAACAGCAAGCAAGGCTTCTTCAAATGCCCCTTAAAACAACATAACTTGGGAATCCACCAAATTCCTACACAAGGCTGTGAAGATGCTTAGGAGAGACTCTCTCAAGAATCCTGCACCCAGGACTCCAGTGTGCTACCTTTTTCTAAGTGCCAGCCTCTTTCTCCAAATGCCCATGCTTAAATTATGTTAAACCTTTTAAAGTTATTTATTTTTATGTGTACAACTGTTTTGCCTGCATGTATGTAAGTGTACCACATGTATGCAATGCCCATGGAAGCCAGAAAAGAGCATCAGAGTCCCAGGAACTGGAGTTACAGATGTTTGTTCCTTACCATGTGGGTGCTGGGAACTAAACCCCAATCCTCTGTAAGAACAGTCAGTACTCTTAATCACTGAGCCATCTCTCCAGCCCCAAGATCTTCTCTTAATAAATTCTAACTTAAGGCTGAAAAGATGAGTCAGCAGTTAAGAACATTTGCTACCCTTGTAGAGGACCCAAGTTTAATTCCCAGCACCCATAACTACCTGTAACAACAGCCGCAGGGAATCCAATGCTCTCTGCTGGTCTCATTGGGTACCTGCACTCATATGCACAGAGCTACACACAGACACATACATAGACACATAATTAAAATAGTAAAAATAAATCTTTTTAAAAATATATTTGTTGTGAACCTCCTATCAATACATTTTCCCTTTTTGTATGTGAGATGGGGTCTTACTGTAGCCCCAGGTGGCCTGGAACTCACTTTGTAGACCAGGTTAGCCTCAATCACAGAGATGTACCTGCCTCTGCCTCCAGAGTGCTGGGATTAAAAGTGATACTACTACACCTGGCAATAAATCTACTTTTAAAGGTAAAACAAGGGCTGGAGGTGTATCTCAACAGTAGAACAGTTGCCTAACAAGTAGAAGGCCCTGAGTTTGATTTTCAGCAACACACACACACACACATACACACACACACACACACACAGAGTTATAAAATGAGAAGTAATTAGCAAAAATAATCACAAATACACACACACATCCTGAGTATCTGCAGAGACTGTTTTAGAACCCTGTGGATGCTGGAATCCTCAACTACTCAAGTCCATTACATAAAGCACATATTATTTTCATATAAGCTGCACACATCCTCCCATGTGCCTTAAATCATATTTGTATTCTGTATAATGCCAACGCAATATAAACACCATGAAATCATCCTGCTACTGTATTGTTGTTTAGAGAGTACATGAGGCTGGAGATGCACCTCAGAGAAAGAGGGAAGGAAAAAGAGAGCAAGAGAGAGCGGGGGGGGGAGAAAGCCTGCACATGGGGCTAGGGATACAGATCAGTTGCTGAGCACTGATGACCCAGGACGTGAATGATCCCTAACCCTGCACGTGTCCATGCGCTCACACATTTACACACACACACACACACACACACACACACACACACACACACATGCACACACATTTTTTTAAAGGAATGAATTTTATTTGTTGTAGTGAGGCATGCCTTTAGTCTCAGCTCTAGGGAGGCAGAAGCAGGTGAATCTCTGTGAGACTGAGGCCAGCCTGGCCTACATGGAGAGCTCCAGGCCAGCTGGGGCTACAGGGAACCTCTCTCAAAAAAAAAAAAAAAAAGTTATGAGAGAGGACAGGAAGTGGGTGAGGGAGGGGGTTGCTGGGATGTGGGGGTAGATCTGAGAGGAGATGGAGGAGGGATTTGAATGTGATCAAAATACATTCTATGAAATTCTCCAAAAATCAATAAAAATATTATTTTAAAGAGACACCAAATTTTATGATCTAAAATTAGAGTACATTAGAAATCTAAGATCAGGCTGGCCTCAAACTCACAGAGATCTGCCTGCTTCTGCCTCTCAAGTGTACCACCAAGCCTGACTGTCTTCTCTCTATAATATACATACATATACGTAAAGGCCTATTAGTCTAATTTGTGTCTGCAAATACTCTTGGGTGTGGGCTCATCCCCAGGAGCATGGCCAACCAATCACACCCTTAAAGAAAACTGACTCTTCCTCTTCCAGCATCTATAATTTGCCAGTAGCTCCTCAGCTAGGGCTTGGCTTTGTGTCTACCTCCCTCCTCCATGGTATTGTCTAGCTTGGACTTGCACAGGTCTTAGGTGTGCTGTCACAACCTATGTAGGTACATGAGTATAATGGCTCTGTTGTGTTTGGAAAATACTGTTTTGTTGTTTTCATCTACCACCTCTGGATTTAATTACTTTATGTGTATGAGTGCTTTGCCAGCATGCCTGGATGTGCACCGTGTGTGTCTGGTGCTTATGAAGGCCAGAAGAAGGTATCAGATCCCCTGGAAGTGGAGTTATGGACTGTTGTGAGTCACCATGTGGGTGCAGGGAACTGAACCCAGGTCCTCTGCAAGACCAGCAAGTACTCATAACTGTTAAGTCATCTCTCCAGTCCCAATCTTTGGTCTCTTAATTCCTACAAGCAAACTGAATAGACAGGCAAATATTGATTTAGAATATATTTTTAAGTAGAAGGATACAGAACTTACCACTCTCTTTTCCCTGAAATCAATGCCCACTGTGGTGATAAATTTGGAATTAAATTTCCCATCTGTGTACTGGTAAAGAACACTGGTCTTCCCTACTCCAGAGTCTCCCAAGGCTAAGAACTTGATGAGGTAATCATAATCCCCATCTGACATGATGAAGAACTGTGATTCACCTGAAAAATACACATAAATGTACAGTTAGTAAAGTCCACTAGAAGCATTACAGTTAGGGCCAGCAAAACAGCGCAGTGGATAAGGCACTTGCTGCACAAATCTGACAACCTGAGTTTAATCCTTGGAACCCACGCAAAGGTGGAAGGAGAGAACCAACTCTGCGAAGTTGTCCTCTCTAGACACACGCACTGTGGCATGCATGCCCACACATATACAATCATACATTCTAAAATATTTTTTTAAAGGAAATATAATTATCCACTAATAAAGTGGCAATAAATACAATGAAATCCAGTAAATACTTCTGTTTGCTTGCTTGCTTGGTTTGGGAGTTTGCTGGGTTTTTTGTTAGTTTTAAGTCAGACTTTCAGGTAGCCTAGGTTGGCCTGGAACTCCTGATCCTCCTGCCTTAGCTTCCCAAGGCAAGAGCAAGAAGACTGCCCACCAGTTTGAGGCTAGCCTGGCACATTCAGTGAGTTCCAGGCCAGCCAGGACTACATAGTGAGACTCCATCTCACAAAAAAAAAAAAAAAAAAAGAGGGACCAGAGAGATGGTTCTGTGGTTAAGAGTATTGGCTGCTTTTTACAGTTAACTTGGGCTGAGTTCCCAGAACCCACACAATGGCTAATAACTGTCTATAACTCCCTTTCCAGGGGATCCAACACCCTCTTCTGGCCTCTACAAGCATTGCACCCAAAACACTCACATACACAAAATAAAGAGAGGAAGGAAGGAAGGAAGGAAGGAAGGAAGGAAGGAA